GAGCCTTTGCTCTGGAGTCTCTGTGACACCAGCATTTCTGAAATCTTCATTTCCCTCTCTTCCTTCTTTTCTTTTTTCTTTTCTTTTCTTTTCTTTTTTCTTTTCTTCTTTCTTTCTTTCCTTCTTTCTTTCTTTCCTTCCTTCCTTCCTTCCTTCCTTCCTTCCTTCCTTCCTTCCTTCCTTTCTTTCTTTCTTTCTTTCTTTCTTTCAAATTCATTATCTTCCTACTGTTTGTTTTGGAGCACTTTTTAGCCATGCTCATCTAGACCCTTCTTTTAGGAGCCTGCTTCTATGAGGAACTTTTAAGACATTCATTGGCTATTCAAGTGATGAAAATAGCAAGCATATTTGTAGATATCTAAGGCTACTTGGAAACCATTTCATGTAACATCCTGGTACATCTGGCAGCAAAAGTCCTCCTTTTTTGCACAAAAATAACAAACAGGAAGTAGCCCATGGGGTGGAGGGAGACGCTTGCTGGGTGCAGTGACAGACTTCAGTTGGGCCCGTGTACTTTGTAAAAAAGAAAATGTCTTAAGTTTTTGTACTTATAGTTGTGGCCCTAATTTTTTAGCTTTTTAAAAAAATCTTTTATCTAGAATAATACAGATTTTTTTTTTTTGCCATTTCCTGTCTTGTCCAAAATCTTCACCAGATCCTGCCTCATGACATTAAACCTCTGTTGGTTCTGCTAAGTTATATTTTAATCAGAAGACCTAATAGGGACGCCTGTGTCTGCTAGTGACTATCAGGTTGGCATCAAAGTTGGCCAGAGAGGCAAGCAGCCCTAAGCCAGGAGGTGGCCTGTGCTGATTTTTTTTTTCCTCCGTGAGAAAGTTTCTTTTATCTCCTCTCTTACTTGGTTTTGCTTTTGAGAATAATTTTGTCTTGACTTTTTAAAATGGATTTTTTTAAGGCTTAGTCCTCTAAGTATAAACTAGAACTGGCAAAATTAATAGAATTTTTACATATATCAAATGACAGTGTCTCTGGTTTAATAAATGCAGACTCAATTTGAGGACATTGAAGGATAAACATTTTGGTCCAATTCATGACATTTGAGAAAAATTGACACCCAGAAGACCTGTTATTTAGTTTCTCTTTGTGGGATAGTCTTTTCGTACATTATAAATATGTGTCTCTGCCTAAGGCACCTTTTGATTGGTTTACTAAAGAGCCAAATGACCAATAGCTAGGCAGGAGAGAATAGGCAGGACTTCTGAGGAAAGACAGGACTCTGGGAAGAAGAGAGGTAGAGATACTGGTGAAACACAGAGCAAGTTGGACATACAAAATGTTAGAAAGGTAAAAAGCCAATGGCAGAATGTAGCTTAATAGAAACAGATTAGTTGAAGTTAGAAGAGCTAGTTGGGAACAAGCCTAAGCCAAGGCAAGCTTTCAGAATTAATAAGTCTCTGTGTCATTATTTGGGGGCTGGCAGCTGACAAGAAAGTCTGACTACAGTTTCTTTTTAAGAGCAAATAGTTATTGATTGTAGTAAACAAAAGCTTACTTATGTTATGTTGATTAAGGAATAAAAATCATTAAAGGCTTTTATTTATATTTTTAATTATTATAGTATTTTAGTGTTGTTTCCCAATTTTTTTCAAATAAGAGTTGAATCCAAGTTATATATACAATATGCTATAGTAAATTAAAATTACCCATGTATAGATTTTTAATTATCAACCTTTTTTGTTATAAGTTTTAAGTTAACATTTTGTTATAGACTTTATAAATCTTTAACTATGCCCAATAAATTTACAAATCTTGAGGTACATAAAGTTTATGTAGTAATATTACAAATCTTGAGATAAATTTTATAGTTCAGCAAAAGCCTTACAAAGTCAAATGAAACCATTTTTGTCTGTTTTGGTCTTTCTTTCTGTCACAGTCAGGTGGATCACCAATCACAGGACATACAGGAAACTTTTGAATAGGCATGTGTGGGTCTAGAGCAGGGAAGCCGGAGCCCAACACCAGCACCAGGTTTGCAGTGAAGCAGGACAGCATAAAGCAATGTTTTCAGTATTATCCATACCTAAAAATTGAACCCATTGACCAGGCAGAGCAACCCGAGAACAGAGAGGGCTTGAAGATAGAAATTATGAGCTCTGGTTATTAAATCAGCCGCGGCGAGTGACCAAAGTGGCCGCTGTGTCGGTCGGTCTTCTCCTGCCAGATCCACTCCTCCCTTCCCTTTTTGGGCAACATTTGTTTCCCTCTGTGCTTCCCGCTGTTCACCCTCCTGCCTGTGTAGTTTTTCATCCCAGCCAGCACCTAGCAGCAGACTCAGGAGGGAAAGCAAAGCCACACAAAGTTTTCTGGCAGCTGAGATGGGGCAGGCCCCTGTGGCAGCTTTAAAGACACAGCAAGAAACAAAACAATAAACACAGAACACAAAGCAATCAAGGGATGGAATCAGCAAAAATAAAATCAGTAAACATAGTACACAGAACATTCACATAGTCAAAAGGGACCAGTCAAAAACAAAATGTGCTGGCCAACTTCATTCATATATTTAACTGTGTTTGACCAATTTGCATCTTGAGTCCCAGTATCCAAGAACCAGGAAGGCAGAGTGACATTTTTGTTTTTGTTTTTGTTTTTGAGATGGGGTTTCTCTGTGTAGCTTTGAGCCTTTCCTGGAACTCACTCTGTAGCCCAGGCAGGCCTCAAACTCACAGAGATCTGCCTGCCTCTGCCTCCCGAGTGCTGGGATTAAGGGTGTGTGCCACCACCTCCTGGTTCAGAGTGACTTCTTATTAGTGCCCTGGGCAAGAAACAAAACACAGGGGACCAAGAACCAGGTGTCACAAACAAACAAACAAACAAACAAACAAACAAACAAACAAAAAAGGTGGGCAGTACAGTGTCTTGCTAGTGCCCTGGACAAGATTTTATGTACCTCATAGGTAGTTCTCATGCCCCCAGACAGGATCCTACCAGAAACAGCACCAGATGCCACAGAAGGAGATACCCTCTATGACTTACTGATGGAAGCCCCTCAGACAGTTGCTTGCTAGTTTCTTTTTAGTGTGGCAGTTTGCTCCAACAATCCACCAAACCAAAGGCCTGGCTCATAGCCTTGAAGGTATCTTTAAGGTACACACCTCCTGAGGCAGCATTCCCATCCTGGAGTCCAGGAGTGAAGGTCTGGCTTCAGAATTTGGGTTGGGATCATGATCTTTCTGGGGCCTCTAACTGTTAACCCCATCCAATAAGAGTAAAGACTATTACCCAAATTCCTTGGAGATTAAGGGACTTTATTTTCTGTCAGACAAGGCTGTCTCCCTAAAGCAGGGTTTGAAAAAAAATAGCATTAAACTCAGAAGAAGGTGGGGGTTATATAGCCCAAAAAAAACCCTGCAAGACTAAGAAGTTTTCAAGTGTTGGGGGATCTCCAGAGGAATTTTGGTTACATAGGGGCTTGGCAGAACATTTCAAAATTATTTGGCAGAAAATTTTATCTTATCAGGGTAGAGGTTAAGGTATAGAGTTGTGGAACATGTCAAATTCCAGAAAATTGGTCCAAGACATGGTCAAACCCAAGTTTTACAGAAAATAGGAGTGAACTTATTTTGACCTTGTAATAAGATGGCTTTTAATCTCTTTTTTTATTTTTATTTTTATGATATGTTGACTTTTAATCTCAAGACGGAGTCAGGCTGGTTCATCAATTGCTCCATCCATGGTGGCTTTGGGGTTCTTGTCACAAGCCTACTTACCCTGCCCTTCATTGGAAGCCCTCAGTTAGACTTGCTCTGTGTGTCCTGGATCTTCTTCCATGCAGCTCAACTGTATGTTGATGAAAATGCTTTTAAGGGGTCTTTGGCCTGCTACCGAGTCCAGAAGATTCAGTGGTGGGCATGAGGCCTGAGACACTGTGTGCCCTCCGCACAAGGAGGAGGAGGAGGAGGAAGCTCAAAGAAAGACCTGGGGGAGAACTGAAGCCCTTCTGCTTCAGTCTGCCTCTTCCTAAGGTCCACTAGTCAGCTATCCCACACTCCACCTGAGGGTGGGGAAGTGGGGTCTTGGCCTGGGTATCTGTGACCCAGTGAACAGGAAAAATTATAAACAGAAGACAATCTATCTGGGGCCTCAGCTGAGCTGGAGCTGGGCTTCCATTCCCGAGGCACTAAGGCTGCTTTCAGGCTCTTGGGGATGGAGATGGAAGTGTGGGTGTGTTTTGCTCCTCTGCTATCTCAAAGGTGCTCTGTGCCTGTGTATGTGTCTGCAGACTGCTCCTGTCCTCATCGTATTTGCAGACCATCTCTGCCGCTGTTCAAAGTACAGAGTAAGTCTTTGTGAATAACAGGCCCCTAGGCGTGAGCTAGCATCAAGCAAGTATAAAATAGCAGGAATGGGGTTAGACTTCCAACTGGGGGACACCAGGGAGATCAGGACTGATCACTTCCCCAACTCACTGGATCTTCCATCACCTCATAGGCCTGCCTGCGGAGTCTCCTGCTCTGGAGTAGCTAGCTTTCTCTCACCTTATTCTTCTTCCCCTGTTGGTGGTCCAGCATAATAATCTGGGGAGGCAGGTGTATAGATGCATTCCCTCTTGCTGTGGGACTGGTGGAACTCCAGCAATGACCCAACCCCTTCTCACGAGAGGTTATCCATTCCAGTTCTGAGAGTTTTTAGAGATTTGCAGAGTTATGGTTTTACATAGTGACTTCACAGATCTTCCAGCTGCCTCAGCCCAGCCCTTGGTGACACTTGAATTTAAAATATAGCAGCCCCTCCTCTGGACACCTGAGGCAGGACCACACCTTCAACCTGGGCTCCTCAGTAGCTGGCCCTGCCTCCTGCACACTGGCCTTTATTACTCTGTTAATTTGGAAAACAGGTCACTGGAAATTAAATTTCTCAAAATAGATCATCAATTATAACTACATTCTATTAAAATAAGAGTGTCTGAACTCTTTCTTACTCTAATGGAAAGCCACATTCTTGCTGCTGAATTATTGCTGGTTCTATGTCTTATCTTGCAGACACCCTCCCTCCAGACTGCAAAATGCTCCTGGGAGACCCTGACATGGCTTGGAATCTTCAGAAGTCACTGCACTGACAGACAGATCACATGAGAATAACAGGTAAGATACTGAGCCATCAATAAAAACAGACAAGTTATATTCATCAGAAAAATGGGATCTTCTGATCTCCATCCTCAAAACACGGTGGTCTTCGGTAGCAAGGACCACCCTTGTGTGGCCTTGGGCCCAAGTCAGAGCTACTTGAGAATGCCTTTGATCATTCAGGTAGAGAGCCAGGGAGTCTGACACAGAGACCCAGCAGGAATGCTTCCATGCTCTGTGTCCACATCCTCCACTCCATAGGAGCTTATGAAAAACAAGTATAGCCATGAGAAGGCTGAGGAACTTGCTCAATCACACAGCCTTATGTCTTGACCCCTCAGTGTGTCTTCTGAGGTCCTTTCTTGGATGGGTAAGTCCTATTTACTCCTTAAGAGAACAAAGAGCATGGGCCTACCGTAGCTTACATAAGCCACACAGTTTATATTGTCAACTTGACAGGAACTAAAATCACCCAAGAAAGGAGCCTCTGGGCTTGTCTGTGAGAGACTTTTTTCTTAAAAAAGTTTTTAGGTTTATTTATTTTATAAGTGTTTTTCCTGAATGTATGTATGTGTACTACATGCATGTCTGGTACTTGTAGAATTTAGAAGAGGTTGTCAGATCCCCTAGAACTGGAGTCACAGATGGTTAGGAGCCGCCATGTGGGTGCTAGGTGCTTGGAGTCAAATCTTGATCCTCTGCAAGAGGATCTTAACTGCTGAGCCATCTTTCCAGCCCTGGTATCTTTGTTGGGTTTTCTCTTGCTGTGATAACACATCGTGATCAAAAGCGACTTGGAAAGTATAGAGTTTATTTCATCTTACATGACCAAGTAAAAGTTCACCACTGAGGGAAGTCAGGGCACAGATTTAAGCATGGCAGGAACCTGGAGGCAGGAACTTTAGCAGAAACTGTAAGGAGTGCTGCTTACTGGCTTTCTCCATGACTTCCTCAGCCTGCTTTCTTATAGCACCAGGACCACCTTCCAAGGGATGGCCCCACTCAGTTATCTGGGCCCTCCTATATCAAACATTAATCAAGAAAATGCCCTGCAGACTTGCCTACAGGCCAACCTGATGGATGCATTTTCCTTCCTTCCTTCCTTCCTTCC